GTTAGGCTCGAAATCGGTTTTGTACCAAATATAAGCTCCTGTAATGTTCAAATCCAAATAACTGGTTGTTCATGTTCAAACCATGAATGTGGTACCATTGGATTCAGAATTTCACGGGGTGGGCTTTGATTTGTTTGCATTAAGATTTTGATGCGTACAGCAAGACCTGGATAGTTCATCCGGAACTATCGGGTCCTGCGTTTTTAAGCCCAAAAATGTACTATTTTCTAAATAACGCAAGGCATAGGGTTCGCATCCATACAACCTTACGTTAATTGTAGTATAGTCACATTTCGTCGACTTGAGGCCTCTATGATCGGCAAGCCATACCATCGTTAATTCTTCACCAAATCCCAAGATTGAGCAACCAATTTTGAAGGCTTCCTTCTCCTTCAGGCGGACAAAATATTCCAATCACCCCGTAAATTCAGGCCAACAAGTTATGGAAGAAAAAAAATTTTATTTGCGAATAACTAAAAAATTACACACTTATCCCTGGGTTATGCCAATTATTATATAAAAGATAACTAAATTCCCTACAAAAGGAAAAAGAATTATCGAAATCGGAAAATTCTTAGCAAAGATACAGCTCATTGAAATTTGTAAACATGTTGGTTCTAAACATTAATGAAAATTTAAATTAATTTTTGTGTCTTGACCGTATTTATCGATAAAGTAACAATTGATTTCTTTATCTTTTGATACGTTGCATTATTTTATTTTCTTATTAATTTGGCATTTGATCACTGAACAATATGCTTTGCGAATTTTTCACCGGCCTACTTGTATATATTAATATAAATATTATAATAATATAAAAAATATTTACATACCGATGAAGTTGAACAATACTGAACAAGAATGCACATACTATTAAGAGAGATATTTCCATGAACACGAGAAGTGTACTAAAAATGGGCTGAATTAAAAATCAATTTTTTTTATTAACCAGGTTAACTTAATAAGGAAAGAAAAGACTTTTCTATAATTTTCTACGATTGTTAGATATTTGCTGATTTTCAAGAAACTTCTAAAAAGTGAAATTGTGTGTTAAAAGTAAAATGTAAGTTTTGTAAAAAAGTAAAAAAAAAAATTAGTTAATAAAAGCTTTATATTTATAAAAAAAGAATTAAGTATAGTAAAGATTGTTTCCATTGGAGCGTTTATGTTATAAAGTTTTTAATATTTCATAAGTTATTTAAGATATAAATATATTCTTCAATCAAAATAAATCTAGGTGTTTAAATATTAGTAACGATTTGTGAATCACATTGTTCTTCAATTAGTAAAATATTTCAATTCGGGCCACACAGTAAATATTTCCTTCGTACCTTTCTGAAATACATAAGATTTTCGATGAATGAAAATAAGTGCAGACTTTCGATTTTGATTGAGTGGGCGATGGACCAAAAAAAAAAAAAAAAAAAAAATGGTGGGAGTTTTCATTATGTGTAAAAATTCAAATATAGTATTGAATATTTAAAATTAATTTGTTTGTTATATAAACATAGTATATTAATAATTAGTAATGATATAAACATATTGCGTGTTTATTTTTTATCATAAACCACTCTAATAAAAATAAAAAACAACTAATGTGTGTGCTTTAGACTACACGATAGAAGTGAAAACAAGGCGAGATTAATAATATGAAATATAAATTATAAATAATAGCTCATTATAAAGAAGATGAAATACTGAACATTTCCCTCGCTTACAGTATACAGGTTTTTGGTTTCTGAGATATTCTAATCCATATCTTCAACAAAACTCGTTATCATTTGGTTTTGGAAACTATTTTTCCTTGTTCGTCTCTCTTACACGGCTTTGCGTTAAGATACAATTTTGAATAATAGCTCATTACACAGAGAAGGAAATGATGAACATTTCCTAGGTTAACAATATTCAGGTCCGATTTTTAGTTTTTGAGATATTTTAATCCATATGCAAAAACACTTCAATTAGTCAACTCCAGCCGACTTTACACGAGCGTTACGCATACGAGATCTGACAACTCAATCTAATTCACTCTCCACAAAAAAAAGAGGTTACGAGTCAGGTGATTTGCCCTACATCACGCTCAACTTTCTTCTTAATTAATTATTTTATTTAAATTTCCCACATTATATGTGGAGTGCCCTCCAAAATGGTCTTCCAAGCCCAAGAACAAATCCCGAAAGATTTTTTTTCATATATATAACGATAATTAATTTGAAAAAAAAATGTGCTCTCGACCAATCTCCGCTGGCTTTAGTACCATTGACGCGGTTGGGAGAGTAGCGCAGGGTTCTCCTGGAGTTCCCTCGCCTCATTATATATAGGTATCCATGTGTTGTTTTTTTCTTAGTTTTAATTTTCTTATTTTTTAGGTTATTTTATTTTATTATCTATTGTATATACTTTTGATTATTATTTTGTTCTATTTATTTTATTTTTTTGTACATATAGTGTGAATGTCATCCTACCTCACTATAACCAATGTCCAAGAGACAGATTGTTATAATACTCAATAAAGAAATTAAAAAAAAAAAAATTTGAAAAAAAATAAAAGATACCATCTACCTATATGAAATGGTGTTTAAGTGATTCTTGATGTCCTAATTAATGTAATTACACGAACAATAATACTTTAAGAGATAGTTTTTAATATTTGTTTCTATAAAAAATGGTTATATTTTACCGTTTTTGGGAGGGAGGGCTTCAGCCCGAAAGCCCCCCCCCCGTAAATCCGCCATTGTCCCTGAGTATAGAATATCAGTGACTAGCATTTAAATCTTTTGTATTATAAGGCATTGGTAATAGTGACCTTTTAATAAAAACAAATTCAAGTTTTAAGGAAAACGAAATGGTAAAAGTGCCGGATACTCGATATCCTAAGCGATTTACAAATATAATTTAATATCAGAAAACCACTCAAAGATAACAAGAATTCTTAAAGAAAGAAACCAGTAAACAATTGGCCCATTTGTGTCATAAAAAACTGAGAAGACGGTCAGCTGAGGTAAGCATATCATTTTAAAATTTGATCTTGTTGAATATTTATTACTACTTAATAATATTTAGAATAATTTATCAAAGAACTAGATAACTTCTTAACTTGTGGGTTCATTATAGTATTTTATCTGAAAACAACACTCTTTAACAGTGCATGTGGGGGGAGAGGTTGCATTTCATAATCTTACCTCACAGGGTTTTGGGGGTTCCAAGTATATATATATATATATATATATATATATATATATATATATATACCTGGAAAAATATTGTAATATTTTTTTTTAATATTTAATCATTCAATTGAATCTAGTTCAAAGCCGTGGTAAAAGTGATCTTCTTTTCAATCGTTAGAGGAGTATTGTTCTATTAACAATGGGCCACACAAAGCTAAAAATGTCATTCGAAATTTTGAAAACCTTCCATAGTGAAACTATAATATAATTTATTAATTTCTTGAATGAGTACCTTGTTCATTGATATACTAAGAAATGAGATGAGAATGGTAGGTATTTCCAGTTTTCACTCTATTATAGATTTTTGTAGTGACATAGAGTTTTTATTTAATGATATTTGAAAGAGAGAGAGAATTGTCGGATACATTTGTAACGGTTCTCGGTATAAGTAATAGAATTTTTATAGATCTTTTTATATATAGAGACCGGGTCATCTTGCAATAAAAATCCGAAAAACGTGCAAAATCGTGCTGTAAAAACCCCAAAATATGTTGAAGTTATTGAAATTTACAACTGTATTAAATGATAAATACAACATGTAAGTATGAAATAAGTAACATGACATGTACAACCTGAAGAGAAACTACCCATTGGTAGCACTCCAATTATATTTCTACATTAGAAGTCCCGTGGCCATCTTCTTTTCAGACGCCTTGGAGAGTTATCTAAATCGGAAACCTTTGGTACATTAAGGTCGTGATGAATGAATTTATTACTGACAAAGTAAGGAGCATTGAGGATTTTACGAAGGATTTTGGATTGTAAGGATCGGATACGAGAGGAATCTGCTGGTTTAATTGAGCCTCAAAGCTCGATCCCGTAAGTCAAAATAGGCCTTATTATGGTAATATATATGAGTCTATTGTAAATAGTTGGAAGTTTAGAGCGTTTGTCTAGTAAGTGCTGCAGTAATCGAAAACGTCTGGCGGTTTCTAGTCGTTCCAAGTCATTATGTAAATAATTCTTAAAACATGCAAAAATCATCTGTTTTGTTTACTTTATTAAATTAATACATAGAAACCTGATTAAACCTTATGCTGAGATTCTAAATTAAAAGAATGTGTAACGAGGAAAACAAAATTTATGAAAATGAAATTCCTAAAAACTTTTAGGAAACTCTACAAATACACTGTAATATTTGAGATATCCAAACATTAAAATATTAAGGTTGATGCTGTTTTTATAGAACAACTAACAAATATTTTTGAGATTTATACTCTTTCTTTAAAAAAATAAATAAAATAATAATAAAAAAAATATATATATATATATATATATATATATATCTGAGCTGTTCTACAAAGGGTGTCCATCACTAATTTCCAATCACATCCAATTTATTTTTCAGTGGGTGTTTACTGAAAACAACTTTCCCACCAAATTTTAACACGGGGTAATTTGATATCCAGATTTAATTTTTTTACGAGATGCTATATTCTACTTTCAAAATCATTGATTTATTATTTTTATTTTTAATAATAATGAAATTACTACAAACACTCGAAAGGCAGAAGAGATAATGAAGGGCTTCAGAATGAGCGCGAACGCAAGTCAAAACAATAACAATAAATACCTTTTTAACAAAACAGGCTCTTTTTTATTTTTATTCAATGCTTAAACAAGTTCCATTCCAAGAATATGCACTAGTCTTCCTTGCTTCTTCCTTTTGTAATATGAATACATACAATAAATACAAATGTAATAAAATAAAACAATACGGTATTTATGATTATAAATTAATTTGATCAAAATTCCTTAATTAAAATTTTTAGGAGATATGCAGCTGCTTTTAACCCTGTGCTGTTTGTCAGCCTTAGCAATCCTTTCTGCAGGAGCTCCAAAGAAAAACGAATTGGAGGAATGGACAAAATTCAAGGTAATATCTTCAGAAATAATTTATTAACAACCGAGGCCCTCAATATAGAAATCATATTTCGCAAAGTCAGCCAAAACGCGGAACCTATTAATGATGATAAAAATCTATATAAATGAAAACGTAAATGTTCGTTTGTTCAAAACCGCTAATCACAGAAACTTCTTCACCGATTGCTTTGAAATATTGACATAACGTTTCTATCGGATTCAGGAGTGTTTTTATATACATTTAATTAATCTATATTTTTTTTTTATGTATCTCTAAGGCTCCTTAGCCCACATTATTGTCTTTCTATATTATTCTAAAGGGACTCATCACAGAATAAATAAAGCATTATTATTATTATTATTACATATATACATAAAAAACTAAAAGAAAACTTATGGTATAAAGCTGCTCAATATTTTTTTTTGTTGTGCCTTCACTAGAAGGTTTCTACAATCACGTATTCATGCTAATCCCGGAGAGGAAGTTCGCCAAAGAACATTTACAAAATATGCCAAGGTCGTATGTAATATTTTTCAAAAAATAAATTCATTATAATTATTATTAATTTTTAATTTGTTTTCATCAGCTGGAAATTTAATTTTTGTTACTTTTTCTTCCTTTAATGACAACTTCAACTACTTTTATCCCTCCCAAAGCAATCGTATAATTTTCACCTGATGTCATTAGACGCTTTCAAAAGAATTTAGAAAAATTAACAGAAAATATATTTCTTCTGTTCATTTTTCCTAATTTTGGTGTCTTGAAGTTTTTTTATTTGTTACAATAAAATATGCCATTTTTCACCAACATTTTATTATTACGCATCAATTTAACGTTTCGACCATACTAAGGGTCATTTTCAAAACAGGAAAATTATAATAACACTATTAGTTAATATTCAGCAATTATAAAATGAATTTCTTATAACATTTAATTGAATTGTCTAACATTCTATGTCAAATTATTTCAGATATACTTAAATTTATATAAAAATATACATAAAGTATACACTTTTTATTAAAAAAACCCTTACATGTACGTAACTATAACCATTAAAACTCTAACAATTAAAAACAATTGCCTATTACCTTGATGAGTCCTCCTAATATGTTTATCCTTAATGTTCTAATTAATATGTTCAGTGAACATTAACTTGTCAATTTTTATAGGTGCTTCGCCCACGTCATTTCTGGAGGGACTGACTTATATCGTCCTGGTGGGGATAGTAAAAATTCAATTCAACAACTCAATTAAATGTAATAAGAAATTAATTTTATAATTGCTGAATATTAACTAATAATGTTATTATAATTTTCCAGTTTTGAAAATGACCCTTAGTATGGTCGAAACGTTAAATTGATGCGTAATAATAAAATGTTGGTGAAAAATGGCCTATTTTATTGTAACAAATAAAAAAAAGAAAATATATTTGTTAAAATGGGGGATGAGGCGCCCGAGAGATTTTAACAGGCGCAGCTACCACCAACTTCAAAATTGGTCTGTAGGCAAAGATGCAAACTACGGGGGGCGATCGCCCCTCTTCCCCCCTCCCCGAATAAAAATGATCGTTTCGCCCCTCCCAATAATTTGAAGTAAAAAAGAATTTATGTTTAAGTATAATATTTTATTGAGAAAAAAAAGATACATTTTGCCTCAATTAAGGGCATTGAGTATTTAGGATGAATGAAACACAGATAAGAAATAAGATACATGAATGAATAAAATATGTAAACTAAAATCGATTAAGAAAATTCGACTATCTGTTTAGGCTAAGGTCTATAAGTAGGTACGTAACTATTCTAAAATTATTTAAATTTTAATTTATATTTAGGGATGATTATATAGAAACATTTCCTAGGATTTTATGATGTATTCACATCTCATGTGCTGACCAGTGATTTTCTTATAAATTTTCTACTATTAATAATTGGTAAATGGTTGACTGTCGTGGATAATGAAGAGAAGAATAGTTGGGGTGGTCAGTCAAAAAAGAAGGCAAAAATAAATGATAATATTTATTTTTATTTATTCACTTTCTACTATTAAGTTGGAACAAATATGTTTAATAAGTAAAAATATCAATATATTTTATGGAAAATATTTTTATGGACATTTTTACATAACAACTGTGAAAACATTGTTTTTTTATTTTAAGGTTGTGCAAACTAAGAAATCAAAAATATTTTTTATTTTTTTAATATTAAGTTTTAGCTGGAAGTTATAAAATGTATCTATGTTAAGAAAGATGTACCCCTTCCTTCCATGTTGTAATGGATACAAATAATTGTAATAAATCTGATTTATTTTATTATTATATATTTTCAATTATATCCGTATGCACATAAAACAAATTCTACAACTTATAAACAAATATTATAACTTTGACACACATAATGAGAACAAGTGCTTTTTTTTTTGTGCTGTTCCTCCCCTGTGCCTCCTTAATCGAAATGAAAAGTCTACGGCTATTGGTGTTGCCCAAATGCGAGACCGAGACAAGTCTTGGTCTTGCAAAGTCAGTCTTGAACATGATCTTGGTCTTGCTCACTCTCGCAACAGTCTTGCAGTTACTTATTAGCTTATTACTATAGAGACATTATTGTAACTTTTCAGATAGGAGAAACCTAACTAAGCCCGAATGAAAAATTAGAGGAATTAAATGCAAAAGTATATTGATTAGACCAATTATTAACATATAGTAACTAAAATTGTCAAGTATCAGTAACTATTTTGCGTTAATTTTTAGATTAAACAATCGATTTTTTTAACAGTCCAGCTCTTAGTCTTGCAACAGTTAGGCCTTGGTCTTGGTCTTGCAAAGTGCAAGACCAAGACCGATTTTGGGCAACACTATGCTATGTCTGAAGGCAGCCTTTTTGCTCAATTTTTATTTATATCATTGATAATCAAGCAGAGGTAAACTACGAATCACAAGCAACTTGTAATTACTAAGATTTCAAATATTTTAATCCTATTTAATGTCTACTAATACTTAATAATCCCTTTATAGCATTCTATAAGCTAGTTTAATCTCATTCGACTTCTTGAAAAAATCTTCAGGTTAGTTATTTGTTTCAAAGAATAAATATGACAGTATCCTACGAAAATATCGTAATTATAAAGCATTATTACTCGTGAAATTAAATATAAAGGGGAAGGTGTCTTTGACCAGCACACTGCGTGGCATTTCAAAAATTTAGTAGTGAAGATACGACGTTAGAAAGGATGAAGTTCGAGTACTCGCGAACTTGTCAGAGATTGTGTTGTGTTGAAATATTCTGTCAGACGCCATCTATTCCACGGGGAAGGTAAAAAAGAGAAGTAGACTTACTCCTTATCAATCAGCTAAGAGGTTAGAAATGTATGTAAATTTATTGAAAAACACTTTTGATAGGAGATTCCTGCCTCATCCACCATATAGTCCAGACCTCTCACCATCGGATTAAAACTTATTTAGATTCATGACCCAGTTTCTTCGAGAAATAAAAGTTCTTTGACAGCCATCCCAAAGAATGGTATCAGGGTGGGATCGAGCAATCGGCTAGCAGATGGCTAATGATGGTAGATAACAATGGACTATACTATGAGTATTAATTGTTTAATATCAAAGAAATAATAATACAAATATTTGGTTGAAAAACGGTCATTTTTTTTTCATACACTCTATTATTAGAAACTACTCTGGTTTTAATCCTATATATTATTTATAAAAGATATATTTTTTTCGGTACGCCATAACTTCGTAAATTCTTCATCGAATCCAATGATTGAACACTCATTTTGAAGATATTCTTTTCTTTCACATGCGAAAAATAGTCCTATCTCCTCGAAATTTCTGAAAAAAATTATGAAGGAAAAGAAACATTAATTGCGAATAACTAAAAAAATATGCATTTTTTTCTCGATTGTACCCATGATAATTAGAAAGATTACCAAATTACCTACAAAACAAAAAATCGGACAATTATTAATAAAGATACAGTCCATTAGTTTTGATATATTTAACAATGTCTTTCTGTTTAAAGATATTGCATTTAGGAGTAGAATAGTCTACTACATTTTTTTTCCTGGCTGAACATTTTATTTTTTTTTAGAATATTCAATGATCGGTGCTGTCAAAAGCAATATTTGGTCTTTATTGCTTTTATCATCATTCCAGTCAACGTTTAAAAACAGGTCCTAGCAAAGCAATTTGTACAAATATTTTGGTGTATTATGTTTAATGGAATATTGTAATCAACCAAGGAAAAAATATTAATTCATTCCTTACAAAATAAATAGGAACTACTTATTTCCATATTGTTTTGCTTACTTATTCAATAGTTGTTTTTTTTTTTTTTTTTTTTTTATTTCTTTATGACATTTACAACTGTATTACATAAATACATCAAGTAAATTTGGACATAATTGATATAATGACATGAATACACTTGCTGAGTAACTACCCAATGGTAGCAGTCTAATGATATGACTATATTAGGAGATCACGGGGCCATCTTCTTTTCAGACGCCTCGGAGGGTTATCAGGAATTGAAGAGGAAGCAAGGTTAGAAACGAGAGGGTTGGGATGATTCTGAAGTTTATTATGGAAGGATAGGTATCTGGATTGGGCCAGATCTGAAACATAAGGAACATTAAGATCTTTATGGATAATTTTATTAGTGACAAAGTAAGGAGCATTGAGGATTTTACGAAGGATTTTGGATTGTAAGGATTGGATGCGAGAGGAATTCGATGGTTTAGTGGAGCCCCATAGCTCAACTCCGTAAGTCCAAATAGGTCTTATTATAGTCAAGTATATAAGTCTTTTGTAATTAATGGGAAGTTTAGAGCGTTTGTCTAGTAAGTGCTGAAGTAATCGGAAACGTCGAGCGGTTTCTTGTCGTTTCAGTCTAGTATGAGGATTCCAAGTTAGTCGTTTGTCCAGGTGGAGTCCTAGGTATCGGATTTGCTCAACAGGGATAAGTGGAGTATTGTTAAAGGAAACTGTAGGACAGGAAGTCGTTGGTTTA